CCTGGAGGATTTTGGAGGATTGAGGATGAATGGTGAATGAAGTACTAAAAAGCGGTCACTTAGTGGTGCATATGGTCACACATTTTGGTGTTTACAGTATACATGTACCCAAGGACAGTATGTTCTATTGTTCACTTCTGCTGGTCATAAATTACACATCCTCAACTGCAGTGTGTTAAAACAAAGGCACATGTCTGCTTTGTTTATTACAAAAGTAAAGCTGTTGGCCAACTGTGCAAAACAATAGCTTCAGCCCAGCAACCAACCTGATGTGCCCAACCCCCCCTCCTCCCCAAAAAAGAAGACCACAAAAAGCCAAAGTAGGGCCATGCAGGATTTGGGAGGATTTAGGCCAAAGGGGGATTTTTTCCGGGCGGGGAAACGCAGGATCATTTTATTCATTTTGGGGTCACGATTCATGGGGTAAACATTGAATTGATGATGCGTTTGAACTGGTTACATATTTTTTGTTACTTTGAAATATTTCATGTGAACTAAATGTTTTCAATTTCTGTTAGCCTTTAACTCAATGTTTTTAATGTGTCTTTCAAAAATGCTTTGACAAAGACTTTTTGGCGGCGACATTCTGCAGTCGACACACAAGAACCATTTCTACCCTTGCAGGTTCCTGTTTTGCCCCTGTTTGTGTAGGATCAGTAAGTAGTGAAGTGTTTTGCCAAAGGACACGCACTCTGGAATCTCACAGGCTAGAATCAAACCCTGGATCTAGAGCATTATGCGCAGGACCTTGGCTTTCCTCTGCAGACTGCAGTTTTCTTCCTAAACCTCTTCGCTCGCTCGAGGCTTTTTCTGGAAAGGAGGTTTGCATTTGTGGACTTGACCTTTGTGGTTGTGGCTCTGGCTTCAGGGCACATGGCCAAAACAAAGGTTTGGAAATACGTTGTAGCTCAGCTCCCATTCATTTTGTACATGTTTTTCAACGAGGATATTCTCAATTGGATACGTATCCTCAGGGGCAAAAGAATGTCTCACATGGAAGTCCTCGATGAACCACATGTACAGATACTGTATTTGGTTTATGGTGTGTACACTGAAAACTTGGCAAACACCTACAGAGCACATAACATTTGCATGCACACTCTGCAAACTTCGTGAAAGAAAGTTATTTCTGTATTCTTTTTTAGTGCGATGAAGTACACACCACAGATTATCCTCCGCTTCTGGATAAGTTGGTGCCCAACTATAACCCCCTGGAACCGGCCCCAGGAGATCAACCTCCCCCACCAGCAAATCTTAAGCAGTCTGATGCACCCACACTTTACGTGGACGGAGTCCACTTCACCAGCCTGGCCATCGATATTGATAATTGCACCTACTACTTTGGTACAAGTAAGTGGCAGCTAAATCTAAAAACATGTGTAAGTTGTTGTCTAGGAGACTGCAGTGCTGTAGGCGAATGATTCTTCATCATGAGTTTCTCACTCTTGGGGAGTCAGGTTGGCATAGGGGTCCTTTCTTCGGCTGCCACCTCCGCACATGTATGTTCAGTCCCCATAGACGGTGCATGCATTTAGTTTGTGTATTCGTGCATGCGCAACAGTGACACGTGGTCATTAGCCTGAAAGGTGATGTTCTAGCAGAGAGCGCATATTGGGAGTGACCCATGTGAGGGATTTGTGTGTGAATAAATTGCCAAAAATCTATCAGATGGTAATATTTAATAGCTTCTGATAAGAAAGATCTCCGGAAACTAATTAAAGAGGTGGAAAATGTCAATTTTTCGACAAAGGATAATTATGAAAAATTATTGTTTTATCTAATGTTGTGTCTAATTTTCACGATTTTGCCGGGTTTACCTTCAAATAACTTTGAGGCCACATGAAAGAATAAAAACTCTTATGATCAAAAAGTTGCCTACTTCTAGGTAGAAAACCTGTTTTCGAAATTCACTTTGTTTTTCATTGGGACCCATTTTCGTTATTTTCTGTGTTTTTCACCTTACTTAAGTGCCCCATTTTCACACTTTTATCGAATTCCCCTCAGATCATCGGTGATACCGTGTGGAAGACTGATGAATCATTTATATCCATCAGTTCATTTCTTCAGGATCGAGAGCCATTTGTCTGAAATGCAGTTCGTTTTTCATGCGATTCAAATTTCCCCTACTGAGTCCGACATGACCGACAGTGGTAAAAATGTATGGATTTTTGGCATTACATACATGTACACGCACACACACACCTGGATAAGAGCGCATTTCGGTACGATTTGACTTTTTCTGCATTGGACTAACAATGTCAAATTGCCCGACTGAAAGGCCCAAACAAAAAATTTTTGTTCTCATCCACACAGTTTCCTTCTTGCATGATACTTTCTCATTAGAGCGTTCATGATATTCCTCACTATTCACAAGTAGAGAAATGTCAGGGAAAACTCGGCAAAACTGAAAAAATCCCCTCTAAAATGTTTACTTCACTTGCAACTTCTGACTCTGTTACTTTGAAGGTACTTAAGAAAGACAGGCAACAATTTGGCAGAAAATGGATTTTTTTCGTATGCAAGTTATAAAAAGGGACTTTTAGTGGTTAAATACTCAGTATGGTAATGAGGAGCAAACAACTTTTTCTGAGCTTGATGTTGATCAATTACTTTTGGGGTCCACCTGTCGGAGTCAAAAGCCATTTTACTGGCTTCTGGCTGTACTGGGATTCAGTACGAATGCGCACAAACAAATTGAGGGGCATGACCATACTTGTACAGTCTTCGTTTGATTCCTAGCGTGGTCGGCATGTGGATTGGGTTTTCAGTCCCAACCTGATTCTGTGGGTTTTACCCAGAATATTCCTTTTAGGGTTTCCTGCATATCATTGTCTCCTCTCTTCAGGTTTCTTCAGGCCTGCCAGCTACTGTACAGTGCTAGAGTACTTTTTGAGGAATCCATAGTGTCATTTAATAACAACAAACGCATGGTTGCTAATCTTTAAGACCGACACTTTTATTGGTTTCATCAGTTACTGTATCAGACTAAAGTCAGGTGGTCACAACCCCTTATGTGGGAAAAAGTGAGATGAGTGTGGTGTTAATTATTTGTGCAAATGAACATTACGGATGTATCAGTTCAAAGCGGTAATAGTTCAGGGGATGCATTTGATAGTTTTGAAATTAAAATCTCGTGGACTTTGGCACTGATGACATGGTCATCGCATCATACCCTGATGTTCATGCCTGGTTTCAAGTGGGTGTGGGGGGAGGGGGGTATAGATGCTTGGTGTACAGTCTTGAAATGAAATTGCAGAGATTTCTTTTGACGGCAAAACAAGAACAAAGAAACGGTGCAGAAACGGAAGGTGGTTAGTTCAGTCCAATCTACTGAATAAAAGGGTGAGATACATGTAATTTTTGGCGCTCAGTCAGGCATACAAGTATTGTAGGTTAGTGCTCTACACTGGGCTTCAGTGAGGATGTGCGCAGGTAGCGTGCAGAGGTTGATCGAGTCTGTACTATTTAATTTTGATGGAGGTACATGTACGTTTTGTTGACAGCTACTGGAAGTGTGATCAAAGCTTTCAAGTACAATTGCAATAGTGCAGCTGAGCCGTTCAAAACCATTGAGATCACTGAGCTGGTAAGCTGTCTTCTTTTTTTGGTTCAGCCACAGTGCATGCGCCTGCACATGCATAATTTGACCCTAAAGTTTATGCACATTCTGTTGAAAATTGGGGTTTGCCCTTTGCCCCCCATTTCGAGCACCATGGGTTTATACGCAGAGCCGGGGTGCCCGAAATGGCACAAAAGAGCTGGTCCATGTAACAAAAGACAGTACTCGGGAACAAAAGACCTGCTGCTGGGAATTGCCATCATTTTTTGGCGTGCATTTTTCAAAGGTTTTTGAACAGTATACCATTGTTTTGGACATAGTGCGCCCGCAGTTTAGTACTGCAGACCAAAGTGTTCCAGGGCCCCTTTGATGAGCAACACAGCACCGCTGCATGCTAATCCAGCCATGTTTGAAAAGACATCACTAGCATTCACTGGGGACAAAGGAAGTTATGCAACACCTCACAGTTCTTGGCTCTCTTTACAGGGTGACAGGCCTGGCTGAAATACTCAGGAGTCAATGAAGGCTGCCCGTCAGCTTAGAGTAGCCACTAAACAGTCATTCGTGGGAGTTTAAACGTCCATTAAATGAAATGATGAATTTTTAAAAAATGGTTAATGCTCATTGACTATTACATGTACCTTACTGTGTCTGTGAGCCATTTGCCTCACAAATGCATCACACATACCGGTACATGTAGATAAAATTCGTTGGGTTATCCGTTTTTTTATTAAGTGGCAATGACAGCAGTGGAACACTGTCCTGTAAACATGTGTCTCTCCTTCTGTATACACACTGATGCAAAAATTCAGTTCAACAAACTTAAATTATTGCAACATTCATTCTGCCCGATACGGGCATTTCACAATAGTGCGCCTCCAAGAGATTGTGACGGGTTGACCAATCACAACGCGTGAATTCTGTTGACCCTTTCCAAACCTGCGCTGGGTCAACAAATTTCGCGTGCTGTGATTGGCCAACTCGTTGCAAACTCTTGGTGGCGCACTTTTGTGAAACACCCGTATTAGATTGTGACGGACCACAAGACCCTGACAAGCTTAGCAATTGAGACATAAAAGGGTTGTAACAAGGACACTGTAGCTTGGAATGTTACAACCTGAAATAAGTGGGAGGGGGAGCACTCACCCCCCCCAAAATAAATAAAAAAGTAAAAGCAAAACAAAAGGAAAATACCCCCCCACAAGAAATATCCTGGTGACATTCATTAGTGTATGATGTCCAAAGACCATATTTCACATTAATGTCTATGGTATAAATTATCACTTAACAGAAGATGTGGAAACATTTCATTGTAAACTGTGGCCATTTGTGATGAGTTTTTTTGGTCGCTTCAGTTGCGCCTCGCTTTTGAATTCACGTCAAGAATGGCATCCAAATGTTTTGGTGAATTCTCAACGGTTTTGTTGTGGTTGTGGGAAAGGGGACAAGTGGAACCACCGTGACAGGGCTGGAGCTGATCAGTAAGGGCAATGCGAAGTTTCTGGTGGTGACAACGGAGGAGAGCGTCATCACATGGAGAACCGAGCGCACAGTGTGCTCAGGCAAATGCATGAGTGAATGTGAAGAACTTGGACCAGGCTGTGTTTGGAGGGACAATAGGTGTCAATGGTAAGCATTCCATTGTGTCCGGACCATCAATAAACTTGCACAAAGGATCGTTTCTAAAAATATGTACACAAACAATTATGAAAGCTCCTGTGTCTCGCAATGTATTTTGTCGGCCGAGGATTGTTAAACCAGAGATAAAGCATTGTATTCACTTCATGCTGATGTTGGTAAGGTACATGTAATGCTTGCATTTTAACTACATGTACCTTGCCATTGGGTAAAGCCAACAGGCCACAATGTAAAGAGTAGTGCTTTTTCACTGCATGCCAGTGTGGTAAATTACACGTTCTAAAGATATGTGTACAGCATGCAAGCCTTAACTTCAAGCAGTTTTGGATGTTTTACTGAACAAAAATCTTTTAGCTTGGACAGAAAAAGCTCTTGTCCTATCTTATCACCTGAAGTGTTTAGTTACCTTTTTTCATCGTTTAGCACTTTGTTTTAATTGAATTGTTTACAATGTAAGGCTTTTTTCCCTTTGATTCTTACACTGTTTTCCTTTGATCTTATATTAGTGTTCTTCCATATGACTGTATCAATGGCGATTCCAGTGGTACCAGTACATGTAAGTACATTTTACGTGTCAAGGCTGAGATGGACGCACTATACAAATATTGTCCGAGCACTTTGAGTGTTGTCGTAGAATGACCCTCTACTGGAGATCCACGGAGCATTCTGGTTTCCAAAGGCAAAGCCAAGGGAAAATAAAATGCTCCATGGATCACCTTGAGATGCTGGTTTGACTACACCGCAAGATAAAGCTGTCGATATTTGTTCTCTAACACCTTCCTACAGATTTTGCCTAATTTAAGTGAGACCTAATTAATTTGATCTCAATACAAATAAAAGATCCATCTACATGTATTTGAATAATGGCTTCAAAATTGACAGGTACATTTCCAAAGTACCTCTTCATGAAATGTTTAAACCCAGCCGTGCAGCGCTATCCCTTGGGAATATTTCGGTATGCATTTGCACACAATGCTAGTGATAGTGCATGTAGTTCTTTGGTTGCCATTGGTACAATACTTGGTTGCTATAGAGTACCGAAGTGAATATGTCGCACGCACACTTATGTGTGTAAAAAGCATTAGCGAGAGTACCCGTGTGTGAACCACGCATATGCAGGTATTTACGTACGCAGGTACATGTACATACTAGGTCGGCGAGCTGTGGGTGCGCACTGCGCTGCGATGAATGACGAATGGCTTGACCAAGGCTGTAATAGTATCTGATCTGGTTTAACATGCATAAATTGTATTCATGTTTGTTTTTGTGCAGAGCCTGAATCAGCTTTAACCCAACAAAACCAACTTGGACAATGCACAGACTCTTATCTTGCAGAATTTATCAGGTGCACCTCTCTTTCTTGTCCTATCTTTGTGTGAAATCTAGTTCTTGTTCAGCCGGACATGAGCAGCATCCGAACACTTTCAAACAGTGAAGTTGTTTTGCTCTGCCAAGTCGATTTTGGATCATGCCCAGAGAGGCCTGTCAATCTCTCTTGGGTCCAAGGTCAGTCTCCAGACATTTGGTAATTTTGTTTTCCTTTTCATCCCACCCCTGCATGCATTTGAACCTCCAGAGTCGCAAAGAAGGATATTTTGGCATAGATGAACAGACAACCACTAAGTGGAATAGACCGATCTAGTCCCTCCCGTGCACACATGTGTACTTAACATAGGTGTCTCTCCAATGCCACACTGAATTCTACAGCTGTAAAGTACATCATTGCACACATGTACGCATGTTGGACTTCAGCACAAACATTGAACATAAACCTCACCTGCAGTCCGTGGAGAGATCATGAAATGATGCTTAACGCATCAGTCCATTATGGTTGGGATAAAAACCTATCTTTACGTACATGTAGCCGTTTTGCTGGTGAGCCTCCTGATTCTTTCAAGATCCAACACCACACAGTAACAGTTTCTGCATTATCAGCCAAGCTCCCTCACAAGGCAGGTCATGCTATTTAACGTCAACAGTTGAGCATATTTTTGCAAAAGTTTTGTATCTGCAATATGCATTGGGCTCTAAATATTATTTTCAATGTATCACACTTATCTAAAATAAAATGTGAGCGTGGAAATTTGAGCAGCAACATCGCATTTGCTTGTGCAGCCTGACTGGCTGCCATCTTGTTTTCGCATAGATGGCAGCGAAATGAAAGATGACGGCTCCCACACATGGCAAAAACTGTTCGTTTTGCTGCAAGTATCTGGAAGCAAATTGCTCTTTTTCTTTAATACACAGTGGCAGATATTAGAGTCTCTTAAAAATGATAAAACCACTATTGAAACATAAAAGAGGGTATTTTCAAGTTGTTGACGCTACTTGTGTGTGTTGACACTTGTTGATAGCACGACCGACCGCACAAGGCAACGGTGCGGTCTGGGGCTATGTTTTACTTGCAGTCTTTTTCTTTCTGTGCTTATACTGTTGGAAACCAATGGAATAACCTTGCTTGAGTATTTGCCAAAGTAATATGCCCTACTGCATCCATCAGACCACTGCCAAACCAGACATTGAGTTTGATTAGTTTGGATTGGCCCCTGGACTACCAAGGGTGTGCAAAAAAATTCTTGTTGAAGCTGGACTTTAAGATTAAGGACTGCTTGGTTAAATGTCCCACATTTAGGAAAATATGCTTGCTGTTTACTGTGTAATGCATGTTTGGCTGTGAGTTTGATCGTCACAGATGGAACTGCTTTGCCCCATTGTGGTCTGAATGCAATTTTATAGAACCTCAAAGTTGTTAATAGTGATACAGAGTGATTAATTTGCACTTTGGCTCTGCGGTTTAAGTCACAGACGTTAACAATAAAGCCACCTGACTTGAGGTTCTTCTGCAAATTGGTTGGGTTACCGATAAACCAGATATTGTATGCATAGTTGGTGCAGATTTGTTAAGACCATTACAATGCCAACAGTGACCCCTAGTTGCAAGCTACTCAAATGAACTACCGTACAACAAAAGTATTCCTCCGTCGTTTTACACTCTTTCATGTTCGAGTGGTTTTGAGACCTGTGAGCAGTCTCATGAGTGATCTCATGTCTGGTCTTGTGATGGTCTCAACTACAAGAGTAACTGGTGTGTGATTTGACACATGATTTAAATTAGCGTGACAAAACTAACCTCGGACTCAGGCTTAATAGCAACACCGTCCATCTGTCATTCTCTCAATCCTTCTCGAGTTTACATCACCTTCTGTGTCTTTGGTCCTTGCAGATCACAATGATTCGTTTGTTAATAACAACAATCATTTGGTCAAATTGACGAAGCTCTCCGACAAACTGCTAGAGCTGAGGTTGAGAGTTATCCACAACAAGAGTAATGGCAGCTATACATGCACAGCCCAAGTTGGAGACAAAATGGAGACCAGACAGGTGCAAGTGGAAGCGGACAGTGAGTAGAAGGCTCTCCCAACACGTTAAGCCCCACATATATGCTTCCTGTCATGGGTTACAAGACTTTGTAACCTTGGGTTACACCATTGGACAGCAGAGGCAGTTTAGAATTGTCAGAGCTATCATAAGGTGCAGGGGCATATCAAGGACTGAGCTCCGGGGGGGGGATAGTAGCGGTAAATGACAACACCGCTATTTGTTTCACTCAGAACTTTGTATCAAAAGGAAATGCATTTGAGCCCACAGCTCACCTTTTCTGTGACCTGAACATGTCTCCGATATCAGTACGTTGTACCGTATTTCTGTGCTGAGCCTTCCAGAATTTTCCAGGAAAATTCCTTACAATCATTTTGAACCATTTTTTGAAAATTGGACGTACAGTTGGCAAATGCCCATTTCTCCCAGACAGGTCAGTCAAAGCTGTTAACAAGTTTCTCTTGACCTGCTCATCAGTGCCCCCAAACTGACAGCCATGAGACCGCGGACTATAAATGATTGTAATAAAACCCAGTGTCAGTTTTAATAGAAACTTCATAGAAGTGCTCTTGTTGAATACCTACATACACGCAAAAAGGTCCTGGCAACCGACTGTTTAAATCAAAGCTGGCAATGTTGAATAGGGTTAAATACCTTTTTTACATGACCACAACGGGGCAGAGAAATGTTGTTTAAATAAAGCAGGGAAGCTCGCAAAGCCCACTAGAGACTTTCTGGAATTGTTGCCATTACACGACTTTGAATTTTTTTCCAGATCGCCTTACTGAAGATGGTATAAAGTTAAGGTGTGATCACTACCAAGAGCTGGAGCGTAATAAACCAGTGGTAAGTTAGGCTGCTTTTCTTTCATTCATTCTATAAATTTGGGATCTAAAGTGTGCCATTTTTCTCTCCCTCTTAGGCCTGACCTGCATAATTTGACAAGGGATGTATCATTGAAATTGGCATCAAACTGTTTTTATTTGTTTGGCAGGTGGTTTGCATTACTTCAGCACTCATTGAAGTTACAAAATCATATGTCAGATGTGATAGGGACATGAAGAGATTGGACCCGAAATTTATACAGTGATCCATGTGAATACGTTGCTTATGGATCTGTGCATTAACCCTCCTATGCTGAAGTCACTCTTTGGGTCACTTGGTGAACACCTCAAAGAAGCACAGCTGTGTCGTGTTGTGCACTGCACCAAATGTCCCTCACAGGAATATCAGATTGCACTTTTGTGCAGCCCAACAACTGTGCTTCACTGTTTCATGTGCAGAATTGTGCAGTAAACCAAATGCAGTGAAGAGGACTGCACAAAAGACCCTGGGTCAGTTTGTGCTGGCTACCTACTGTGTACACACTGAACCTGTGCATGTTTGATTTCCATATAGAAAATACATGCTCACCAGTGACTGTGGGCATTTGTGCACATTTGTGCTGTAAAACCAAAGGAGGGTTAATTATAAACTTACGCCGAGCTTTATAAATTTGTGTTTGACTTGAAGAGCTGGACAAGCTGTCATCCTCCCAAGGTATATTTGTACTTTTTGGCAGCACAGCACTGGCAGCACCTGTATTCATGTCTGAATCAATGCTGTTGACTGAAATTACTGACTTAGTTTGGAGTCAGACTCAAGTTACAGATTTTTTGACTTGAGACCTGACATGAATCAGAGATAGAACAACTTACTGGTTAGACTCAACTTAATTTATTCACATTAATTTCAACATTTAATCACATCCCCACTTTATTCAGCCATTACATAAAATGGCCTTAGCAATTTATTGCTGGTTACGATGTACTGGGTCACATATTTCTGTGCCTCATAATGTAGAAAACCTGTCTGTTTTTATTGCGCCAATGTCTTATATGAGCATCCAAGAATGGAAAAAAAATGAAGCAGAAGGTTTGGTCAGGTCACATCATCAATAAGACAGGATGTCAGAAAAAAATGTACAAGTACCATGCCAGTATTGACAATCTTGAAAAACTGGACTTGTAATCAAGAGTAGGTCCAAAACCGAATGGGGTGTCACTTTTTTTTGGGGGGGGGAAGAGTTGGCTTTTCTTTATATGACCCTTTAACCCCTTGACGCCGGAACTTTTTTCTGAAAGCCGACTCCGAGAATTTAAGCCTCACTTGGCCACGAAGGCCACCTGCCAAACCGCAAATTCTCAGTTTGTGGCCCTGCGTGCTCTGCACGCTTTGATTTACACAGTGAAAAGGCTCATTGTTTGGTGGCATGCGGCTGTAGTCACGCTTCCATATTCTCGTTGCCTCTTTTCAAAGTGGGGACTATTGTGAAGCTGGTGATCGTGATGCAAATTCGGCCTTTTCATTTCTTGGCAACACACAAAGGCCAATCACCATATATACAAGAGCCAGGGTATGCCTTTTTCACCGTGTTCGGTCGAGCGTGGGCCAAGAATAATAGCTGAAAAGCGGGCTGAGGGATCTCAATTTTTACGGCGGCTCGTACCACTTCCCGGTGAGAAGGGGTTAAAGAGCATGTTGTGGGCCAAACAATGTGCATTGTTTGGCATGCACAAGGGTTTACCCACTATGAACACAGGGCGAGGTTCCCCTCATTTTCTGTTTTCTCCGAATGATGCAATCTACATTCAGAATTTGCATGGAAAGAAAAAAAAACCTTTTTAACATGTTAAGTTGAGCTCTGAAGACAAGTGACACTGTGTTCGAATTGGTCGCTTCCATATTTATTTGAGCAGATAAAATCAGAGAAAACATGTTTTCCTTTAATAGAGGTGCTCTTTAATGGTCTTTCTTGTGGGCGATCCTGAATTGTTGGGCTGTGAACAGGCTTTGGGAGGGTAGGGTAATACAGTTAGTTCCCTCCAAAGTACCTTTCTCAGAGTTTTCCAAAAACAGCCCTCTCCCCTTTGGGGACATGATAGCTCCTGTAGACACCCCGTCCAGGTCCACCAGTGCTCTTGACTGGACTTGGGATGTAGCGACTGGCAAGGAAATAACTGCTGACTTGACTTGTGGCAAGTCTAAATCCTCTGTTGCTACCCCTCAAAAATACAAGTACAGTGTACATGTACATGCAGCCTCTAGCCATGATGTGGACATTACACTTGGAATTGGGCTGTTGCCCTGACATCTAAAACATCAAGAGTGTGCAGCATTACAGGGTGAAATACTTGTGGATGTATGCACCGGAAGATCATTCCCCCAATGCACTTTGTAAGCTAGACACTGTGATATACTTGTACATAAAGTAACAAGCACTGGACTTATTATGTAGCTGGAAAAGTATGGTGACATGTTGTGTCAATGTGATTCAGTTACAGGGCTGGTTATTGTCTTTTTTTGTTTGATCTTTATCAGGTTAGTGGCGACACATGTTCAGTTGATATTGAGGAGTGCAGTTCTTGTTACATTGGGCACCAGTCTGATAGACCGCCTTTCTAGAGCGTACTGGATAGTGTCGGTGAGTTTGGAACAAGGTGGGCTAATCCGAGAGAGGCTGATTAGAGGAGGAAATACATATTGCACACATTGATGTGATTTGGTGGGAACTTTTATTTAGCTGAAATGTACGAGTTTCTTTTTACAGTGCTTTACAGATTAGGAGTGACCGTTCTCATTTGGGGGAATAATTAAAACCGAGATTAATGGTTTTGTCTGCATGGAGGAAGCTATTTATCTCAAGCACATGTGATGCTGCTTGGTTGTGCCTTTTGTATGCTGTAACGACTGCAGAGGAATTATGTTTGTATTTGTAGCACCTTTGTTCGGTGTTGTATTTGAGTCCATCGTAAGTCCTTTGACAAGTCCCTTCACAAGGTCAGTCACTAGTCCCTCCACAAGTTTAGTCACAAGTCCCTTCACATTTAGTAACAATGATGGAAAAATGCTTTTGTCACAGCTCATTTGAATAGCTTGTGAATTGGCTTAAGACTGAATGACTTGTGATGGACTCGAATACGACACTGCCTTCGTTAAGGTTGGTTCATACTTGGTGTGAAAGCAGATGCAAAAAAGAAATTGTGACACTGCAAATCAAATGTTGGTACTGTGAATTCACAAAAGTCGAACACTTTTCAAATCAAGCAAATTTCACTGCAAGAGTGTTGTGATGTCAAATTGGCTTCATTTTCGCCTGGAGCATGGACTAATTTTTACTTGGCCAGGAGAAAAGATTTACAACTCACCTGGAAAGGCTCGCTCAATTAAGGTTCAACCTTCTCACCGGATATGCTTATTTGTAGCAGAAAAAATTGAGGTTTAAAAAGGTACCACTGAGTACTCACATGGCGAGCAAGCCTGCACCTACATGTATTTAATCCAAGGCTTTCAGTCTCATGGGGCTTTATTCACAAGGTGGCAATTTTGGATAGTGCTCCACAGATCCAATTCATTTATTGAGCACTTTGAAATAGGAAGGAGCCCGACTATTTTGCATCTATTACATCACCTTCATTCCAACAGATTAAAATTTGTAAAATATTTGTACAGGAATAGCCAAGCTTGTGAATCAATGTGGCTGACTGAAGAATAAGCCCTGGTGCATGTTGATAATTTTATTAAAAAGTAAGCTTTTTGGAAGTGTCTTATTGTGGTCGCTTTGGATTACATCAGTAAGAATACTTAAAATGTTGCAATACATGTATGCGTTAATTTTCTTAGAGTGGTTTCATTTTCAGGTACTGATGAGGAGAAGTACCTTCAGACTTTCTGTTTGGTTTCTATTTTGCTCCACTATCTTGGTCATTAATTGGATGAAATTGGGGTGGGTCCAACATTTTTCTGACCCTGATAAACCTGACCCCAGTGTGTACGGTAATATGACATATATTTTTCGCTGAATGCTTTCACTAGACAGAAAGCACCTGTGAATCAGTAACCCGTCTACCAGGGACTCTTTATATATAATCATATATTGTGTTAAATGAGTTAACATTATATAAATTTAGCAGTTTGTTTTTAATTGTTACAATTAACAGAATTTATTATAAAAATATATGGTTTTGCTTTCATAAATTGTATCCTAAATTATATGATGGCCCAAATGCCAGTTAAGTTTTCTGTGTTGCACATACAGTTTTGACGATTTTTACTTGAATTTCAAGCATAACGAATAACAGCTTAGTTGCAAAAAAATATGCTCAGTGTTCAAAATGTTTGAAATAGTGCGCTGCTTCAGAGTAAGAACCTTTTGTTTTTACGACCTTTTTAATTTCAACGTGAAAATCATCAACTATGTGCACAAGGAGGTGGAAAATTTAACTGGCCATTTATTAATGTGCATCTGCAGACGTTGTAAATACATGTACATCTTTGCCTTTACTGTTGCACACTTTTCAAATTTGTCTTTGTATTGGTCAGAAAAGATGATTTGTAAAACTTATATATGTTGAAAACAATGAATTTATGTATGTACACAGATTGATATAGTGTTCTTGGTCATTTTTGAGGACTTTTAATCTGGTATTTATGACATTATCAATGATTTCATTACTCTTGAGCTTAGCTTGCCTATTTTAATCATCTCTTGAAGTTTTCACTTTGTTTTGCCAATATAGTACAGCCCTGTCCAAGCATGCTGGTGCCAGTTAATTTATTACTGCCACAAAACAACTTGCATGAAAAAATAAGCTACATGTACTTGAAGTTCCTCAAGTAAGCTACATGGTCTTGGTTTTGAAAATCAGCTTCGTTGACCAGCATTGGGTTTAACTCGTGCTATTTGAGCTGTGTGTTAAGATGAGGTTAGTCTCGGTCGTCCGCTCAGCATGCCACCCACCGTGTGCGGTCACGTGTTTAGCATTTTCTGCTTCGCCCAGTTGCTTCACAAATGTCCAACTGGACTAGTATTTACCTCACGGCCTTATGATGTGATAAACGCAGAAAGCTTTCGTGTTCAGCGAGCTTAATTTTGAAGTGTGGCTTCACATGCACACAAGTACTGGTCAGGTTAATGCCAATGATTCTGAAACCGAAAGTTGGAGAAGCATTGGGCTGGAGTGTCTTAAATACGTTCTTAATTCCTGGAGGGCCCTTGTCATTCATGAAACTGTACATCCATGAACTGAAACCTAGAGGTGGAGACAAATTTTATCCCAGTGTTGAAGCACCCATGAGGAACTGACATCTCTACTCGCCTAGGCGCTACTTCAGTGTTCCTCTCTCGGTGCTCCAATTGAAAAGGATCAGGGTTAGAGGAAATTAGACTATCCAACGCTTTTGCATTTTAGAAGTGGATGGATACAGTTGGAAGCTCTTTGCTGTAGTGTTTTCTGTTCAAAGTAATGAAAACAGGGATTCACAAGGGGGATTTCAAGTTTGAAGAGGAGGATCCCTGAGACACACATCCGAAACCCAGCACTGTAACCACAATGAAGACCACTCATCACTTAGAGTCCCAATGTTGTCTTTTGCCGACGCCCAACGGCTGTCGGTTGTTCCATATGTTAAGTCTTATTTTGTATTAAGTCTGACGAGGGGCAAAGTGGCAAATTGGCAAAGTGGTTGTGTGTGTTAAATGGGCAAAGTGACTGCAAAGTTTTCACCATGTTTACAGGCCAAGTAGAGGGGATCAGATAGTGATTCTAGAAGCCTCTTGATGAAGTCGAATCCCCTTATGCTAACACAGAACTGGATTCATTAGTTTCATTTGTTTAACCCTAATCCCAAGGGTTTTTGTAAAATCATATTTACATGTATTATTAGAGGATTCCAGGACTGTTAGGGTTATAACTCAGACAAAGTCCCGGAGCAGATTTAAAGGTTATAAAAGTTCTAGTTTCTGCCGGAATAGTTGTTAAGGTTTATTGGGGCATTGAGCCAAACAGTTCACTGTTTTATTAGCTTATGACTTCTGTAAATGGTTTGCAAAGAGGATCAACTCCGTAAAAGGCACGGACACAGTAGTGAAGACATGAAAACATATTCTAAGCGCTTTGTTCTAATTTAATATTTAGACCCGGGTCAGATAAAAATGATCAGGAATAATTTATTAGAAACTTGACCCTGACAGCTTAGCTGGTTCAGTTAGGTTTTTTAAACTCGTCTGCGTGGTTAAGGGTTGGTATATGAGAATAATACTATAAAAGGTTGATGTATATTGAAACAGTGATAAAGATATGGAAATAAACATGTGTTGTAAGTTTATTTTGAGGCCCATAACAGAAAACCTTTTTTGCACCTACAAAAAGTGCTTTTCTGCCTTTGATTTTATCGACATAACAAAGTGTTGCTTGTCACACCTTTATTCCTGACAAGACTTCAAGCAATTCATAGCTCTGTTGGGGGCAAGACGTGTTTTCGGCAACTTCCAGAACAGGTGGTGGCCTATCCAGGTTTTTGTTGAGATGTGGCCGACTTTTCCAAAGTTTTGGAATGCTTGAGGTAATGTTTGTGCCAATTGTGTATGCACTTTTCAAAAGAAAAGGTTGGAATGAAAACAGCAAAAAAATCCCCTCTCATACACTACTCTTAGCTCTTAATGTACAGTTTGCCAAATTTCGTCAAAAATTTTACCTATTGAATTTTGTAAATTCTATTTTTTTTTGTGATTTGCCAGTTTTTGCCGAGTACTATTTTGACTGTTACGTAGTGCTCTCTGCTTTCCCATTTGCTGTAGTTTAAATTGATATTATTTCGGTATTAAACGTGTTTATACCCGGAAACAACTTGACTGCAACTTAACATGAAGCACTGGGCTTAGCAGTGAAAAAGTTCTGCTGTACATGTACATCTTGATCAGGGTGACGCAGAGTGTTTCAATGAACACATAATTGTCGATTAAAAAGTTTCATTACGTTAGCTGAACAAGGAAAGGCTCGCTGGTGTTTGCATGAAGAGTTTCTCATGTCTTTTTAAATGGTAGGCATGTGGAAGTATTGGTGATGATGCATTCATGAGGAACGCCATCAGCTGCAAAGAAGTAACTCATTGTAGAGTTTACAAAAGTAGTTGTCACTATATCCAGTGTGTCAACAAGTGAGCTCGGACGGATGACAAAATTTCGCGGGCTGAAACTTTTTAAGGTGGGGGTGGGCTAGCACTATTGAATCATCCTTCCCACTTTTTGATGGTAAGCAGCAACAAAAAAGCTGATTGTGGAGAATTTTTTAGACTTCCAACGACTAAAATGCACTCAATATCACTCAACTTCAAAGAAATTTTTAATGTGTAAGAAACGGTTGCAAATTAAATTGAAGTATTTCATAGAAGGGACATTCGGTCAAAACTTCAGCCCTGGAGAGTGATTCGTGTTGAAATGGAAGCATTTTGAAAACATTGTTTTACACAGGACCGTGTTACTGTAGTAGGGGCCTACTGCTGAACAAAGCCATGTCTCCACAAAGGTGTCGGTCACTTTGCCCATTTTCCACTCCGTCCATTTACCCCTTTGCCCATTTGTCACTTCGCCCAATTACCTTTTCGCACACGCGCCATTTCGCGCAATTGCCCATTTTCCACTTCGCCCACGCGCTTCGCCCACGCTGCACATATCCAACAGAACGCACCGCCGAGGCGCGTACCTTAACTCCACTTATAAAAGTTGAAAGTTGCGTCATGTGTGAGACTTGTACTTTTATAGGACTACTTTGACAATGGCCAAAAGGAACAAGAAAAGAAACAGAAAAAATAGATACGTGTACAGAAATGACGATGGATCTGTTCAATCAAGAGTTTATGATTAGACTTGTAAAGTACAGATGCTGTAAAAGAGGATTTTTATTCGACCTATTAATTCAGGCAAAGAGAACGTTTTTTGCAACGAACGCGACGTGGCACCCATCTGCCACTTCGCCCACGGATTCAGAGTGTGTGAGACTTGTAATAATGGGAGGCCGACTTTGACAATGACCAAAGGGATGCCCAAGATCCCTTTCTACCAGTTTTGCGCGGCACTTCAAACTTAAGTTTCATGATTCAAAGTCATTCTGTCTTTGCGTACCGGCAATTTTCCGGCGAAGTAGTAAGGCAACCATTAAGGGTAACCGCTAATTGCCGTGAAGTTGTACAACGAGGATCCGTGCGCGGGGCGTCTATGACTGCGCTGATTGGATGACCGCACTGTCTCCGAGTGACACGTCACTCAAGTGCGGCACTGCAAAGCAAACTGGCGATAATCCTGTCGATTACTTCCGACTTCTGTGTGATGCTTCAATTAGTCAAACGACTTTTGTTGGAAATGTTCGATTTTAAAAGTCATTGGAAGGCCTATAAACTCCCACGCGGCTGTGTCTAGTTATTTCACCATTCTGTGTTTGACATTGAGACGGTCGTCATCATCGCCAAAACTGTATAGCCTACGTACATGATAAGGCAGTGGTGGCTCTATCCCATTCAGAGACGCGCTCTCTCTTATAGATTGATGTGGGAATAAACTTGGGTACTTTGGAGGGCAAAAGTGACTGTTTATTTGGAGGTTTATTTTTGTCTGAGTAATTTCCCATAGAGACTAAAAGGAGTCTCGAGAGGGTAGAAATAATGGGGAGGTACTGACTTATGCAAAATCGGTGCCATAGTTACCCAAGCAGTGGGTTGGGTAGGGGCATTTTACCTGATACTAGTGAGAATGCATTTTCGTCACTTCAGGGACTCATCAGTCGCATGATTCCTGAGAAATCCAGGTATAGTTTTATAGTGAGTGAGTGGCACTCACAAGACGGGAAATTTGGGTAGCTGTCTGTATATGGGGCATGATATTAATAACACATTTTAGTTGGATGGGTTTTGTTCATCCAATAAGGAAACTAGGATATCGAGGGTGTCATCGCGTTCTTCACGTATAGAAGATTGATCGTTCTCTACATGGCTGACTTTGGCTCTGAAAAGTTTTCCGGATGTTGTTGGCTCTTTTGTAAGCAACCATTGGAGATTTGTGGAAAATCTTCCTAACTAGTGGGTAGCTTGATATAACCAAACCCAGTGCTAAGCGGAAACGCAAAAAAAACACACCAATAAAACCTTTTTTCAAAGCCAACACTTCTCCCATAAGAGAAAGTACCTTTGCTGTGTTTTGAGAATTATTTGGAAGCCGCCAAGATGAAACTAGGTCACATCCGTTTGAGAAACACCTACTCAAAGACAACCCATCTGTTGTACAGCGAGGGCGAAGTGGCGAGTGGGAGAAGTGGCGAGTAGGAGAAGTGGCAAATGGGCGAAGTGGCAAATGGGCGAAGTGGCAAATGGGCGAAGTGGCAAATGGGCGAAGTGGTAAATGGGCGAAGTGGAAAATGGGCGAAGTGGCAAATGGGCGAAGTGGTAAATGGGCGAAGTGGAAAATGGGCGAAGTGGTAAATGGGCGAAGTGGAAAATGGGCGAAGTGACTGTATTGCAAGGTGAATGGAAGGTGTGAAGTTACAGTGTGGATTTATTACACTTATCGGTGGACCCAAGGGTCAAGTCGAAAACTGCATTTTACAAAGAGTCTCAGATTCGGAAATGAGTCAGATTCGAGTCGCCATTTTGTTGACTTGAGACTTGATTTGGGAAACAACAACACTTTTGAAGTAACCGGCCACTTTTCGTCCTCCAGGTTCACCACCGGCACTTGGTGGCGCCATTTATTGAACAGCAACATGTCAGAAATGGCAGACGACGGACAGTCGGTCACAAATTCTGAACCCGGGGCTGGGTAAGTCCAATTCTGCTTAAACATGTCAAAGCAGAAGTTCAGTGCTTGATAATGGAAAGAAAGAGGGTCTGTGGAACACGGAAACCGTGGATTCAGGGAAATAACCTCTGCATGGTTACGTTCACTCAGCACAGCACTCAACATCATGGTCAAGCCTAGCCCACTGAGGCACTAGTGTGGCATGGACTCTCACTCCCAATCCATCCTTAGCCACACATCCGTATACGCAATTTCGTGTCGGCGTATTGAACATTTTTGGCGCTCCCACTTATCATGCTTATCATCTTGGTGCAATTTCTTTTGCACACGGACATGATCCTTGACCTTTCCACTTTCTAAAAACCGTTTATTGAATGATTTCACTCACGTTATTCAGGTATTTTCCAGTCTTTTTGCCTTTATCCATTCAATCTAACAGGCTCCGACATGAAATTGCGCATACAGATGTGTGGCTAAGGATGGATCGGGAGTGAGAGTCCATGCCACACTAGTGGGGCTGAGTCAAGCCACACACCCATGATAATGGTCCTGATTTCTGTTATTGGTTTGTAATGCTACGAAAGTTTGAATGTGAATTGTTGTGATTATCAATATCAACATGTCAGGTTGCATGTGCCCATTTGTTTTTGTCTGAAACTGCACTTTGGCAAACTGCACTTGGGCAATCAAATCTTCCCTCAAAGGCCATCAAAACTAAATAGAATCTCTTTAACACGGAACGCACATTCAGTGGTTTTGGACCATGTAACCAGCTATTTTTGGAAAAGTCTAGACCTTTTAGGGTTACGTGTAGGGCCTAGTCAGGTCAGCTAGTTGTACTTTTTAGTTACGATCCTGCCTCTCTTCACAAATATAACAAAACCATCTGCACATGTACAGGTGTCCATGAGTTACCGTAATTTGTGCACTTAGTACGTGCACATGTACTTCAACCAAATTCATTCTTAAATATAGGCCTAGCCTACATGTACTTAATGTTTGTGGCTTCATTTTCAGGAGTATAAAATTTGCGGCAATATTTGTGACCAGAGATACAAGTCGTGAATTTGGTTGGTTACATTGATGTCAGCGATATTAATGAATGGCGATGTATGTTCACCCAGCACTACCGATGTATCAAGTAACAAGTAGTTAATACATGGGATTGTATGGGGCGGCGCATGACAGGGGTAGCCACAATCTGGTCCTATCTCCTGGGACTACGGCTTCAAATGTTGATGAAAAGAAGCAGCAGTGAAGAGCCGTAGCCATGCAGTGTTCAATACTTGTGCATGCCTTTGTCGGTAGTCCCACGTGGAGATACCATACCGTGTGTTGCCAACACAGAGTGCAACATAAACTGTTGAAAATATTTTTTATTGGGGTTTTCCAGAGCATGTTCCGTTACATGTGCCATCACTTATCATAAACTCATTTTTATCGACACCATTAAACCCTACTAAATTCTACACTATTCGACTATCAAATGGACTTTTTGGTAAGCAATGAATTGCTGTGATGGAATAAAATCACAGCAAACCAAATTTTCAGTTCGCGAATCTGGCTTTAAAAAACTTTGGCAAGCTACATGTAATGACCATGAGGATGGCCTTTAGTTCAATGCTGGCTTCATATTTATGTGTTTCACATCGTTGTGAAAACCTCAGTTGCAAGAATATCATGATTTTTTTCTACACGAAAAGAGGAAATAAATGAAGTTTCACTGCTTGAAAGAGGCTACTGCATATTTGATTTCATAAGATCATCAGATGTCTCTTTTCTATCACAATTTGAAGCTCACTGGCATCCCAGTGTGCAACCCTGAACAGTAAGCAAAACTAAATCTAGGAAGGAAACATACGTGACTGTGACACATGTCTGTTGACACGAAAGACTGGTTCCTATCCCATCCCAGTTCTCTGAATGTATACAATAGGCAGTAGAAGTGCACATCACAACTCAGAAGACTGTCCGTATCTTTGGAGTCTAAGGGGTCATTCTTTTTATTTGGGGCCCAATTTCTTTCCCTGTCCCTGTTGCATCTGGCATGTGATTCTTTGATGTTTAGAACTTATTGTTTTATTCCAAAATTTAATAAGTACTGAAAATTACCTGCCTAACAAATAACAATAGTTTGAAATCAATTTCAGTGATGCATCCCTTGTGAAACATGTACATGTCAGAGGTAACAGGGATGGAAAAATGTCATACTTTGGACCCCAAATTTTATAGAATGGCCCGTAGTCCCTTTATTTTTCAAAGGACAAAATCAAGTGACATGGCACAAAGTTCCCCAAAACAACTTAACCCTGCGGTAACCGTCCAAAACAGTCAAAAATTTCTTACACTTCTCCCTGTACAATTATACATGTACATTTATGTAACTTGACTGATTTTGGCTGATAGGACTACTGTGTCAAGAATGCATCTTTGTATAGGAGGGTTTGAAATGACAACAGACATAGGCCCCAGTGTGCTGCTCAGATGTGCGGATCATTGGTGAAGAGAGGCAGGATTGTAAGTAAAAGGTCTTGATTGTGCCAAAAAAAGCTGGTTACACGGTCCAAAACCTTGAACGTGGGTGTTAAAGAGATACACATAGTTTTGACAGCCTGTGGGGGAAAGTTTTGATTGACAAATTGCAGTTTTAGGCAAAATAAACGGGCACATCCAAAATCTCATAGCGTTACAAACCAATAATCAAGAAAGGAGTGTGGCTCACCGTTCTGGGAATATTGTAGGCTTAGGCCCTACTCATGACTCCTGTAATGCACACAACCACTAGTGGTCAGGTGATGGTGGACTCTACTCAGGGAGTCAGGCTGGAAAGAGTCGCATTCATCAGGCCTACAAACAACATAAAGTACATAGAGTACACTGGTTCTTTGCAGAACCACAAATACTCACAAAAGAGATACGTCCATGGTGCTACCGCAAACCTACTTTCTATTATACCTCTTCACCATGCAAACCTTCAAGACTTAACATGAAGTTTCCCTTAAAATGTTATCACAGCCGTCAGAACGTGACAACATGTCCTAAAAGTGAAATTTAGCAAAGCACGTTCTGCATTTACATGTAGGCCTACCGGTACTTAGAAAACACTTTTTTCAGACAGGTCTCATAGATTCGTGCACATGGGCATCAGGTGTTGTCAGTATTCTTTCCACCGGGTCTCTTCCATTCATCCTGTTCATCACTCATCAGGATTGCCAATCAATCCATCATCTCCATGAGCATAGGCTCCAGGCCCTTCCAGGAAATTGTTGTTTATGAAGTCGTATGGGTTTTGAATCAGCCTTGATATAAGAGGAGTGTATAATTGGAGAACACCCAGCCACTGCAAAATACACCCCTGAAATGACTGGTTGTGTGGGTGGAAATCCCTGTGATTTATCGCTAATACCACATGAGTGATTTTGCACTGTGGTAGAACGGCATTGTGGGAAGGAAAAGGGGGCAATGTTTGCTCGTTTTTCCTTCTAATGAAGGCCATGAGGCCTTTTTTTTCTCACAAATGTACATGTACAGTAAATGACCCTTTTCTTTTTTTTTTTCCTTTTTCAGTGCAAATATGTTTGCCCAGCCTTCCAGGGAATGTTATGATTTTGATGACAGGCCAAATATCACACAAATGAGAGGTGAGTATAAAGTTTAATGATTTCAGACAAATCCGTGCACATGTCTTGAACTATAGAATATTTCCATTGGTTTTAGCAAAGTTGCATGCCAAACTTGAGTCTTTTTCTCGTCACATTGTCACAAACATCTGACAGTGGCAACTCGGTGACCTGACGTTGACAAACTCAAGGTACAGAACTTTATGCAAGGCCCCCACACACAGCACAGCCTTGTGTCCATATTGCATGATCCCCCAAAACAAAATGGCTCAAACAGAATTAAATCTCATAAGCCCTGGTGGATGGAAACTGACCGAGAAAAAAGACTGGTACAGGTTTCTGAACACATACATGTACACTTGTTTGTGTAGTTTTAACGGTAAGTTTCCAAATTGTTTAAGAGAAAGGGTGATTGAGCTGGGGTTTTTTTTCGGAGATGTTGACCAACCGGTATGTTTAAATTTGCCGATAGTGCAGCAAAATCACGCTGGATTTACACCGATGCTTGGCAACATGACCATGTTGGTAAACAATGCTACTTCAATATGAAACAGAAAGAAAAGACATGTACAACGCCAACATCAGCTTAAAAAACTAAAATAATAAACAATCAAAAAGAATAAAAGTTTACAAAACCTTTAAAAAATAATTGGAAAACATAGAAACAAACAGTGTGCAGTGAAAGCAAAATCAAACCAACCAACAGACAGGCCAAAGAAACATTTACAAAACCATCCCCTCCCCTCCAAAAAAGAACACACAAAATCAAACATGTGTACGATGCACCGCCTGAAGTTCACTTGGGTTTCTACCTAACTAAATGTGTCAGTTAGTTTGGTGATGCTCTAATAGGCCATTTGCGAGTTAAATTTGAATAAAATCTGGTACGCTGGGTTATTTGACTGCACATAAACATAACGATTTGAATTCCCCAGACTAAAGACACTGTTGCTATAACTCGAGATTCGGAGCAAGCTTTCGCATCGCGACCACCCTCTCTGGAATGGACTGGTTCCTTTGTGCCCTTCTTATCCATTGAGAACAGTGTGTTGTTGCAAGGCGTCTCTTAGTAACTAAGTAAAAAGCTTGCCCCGAATCACAAGGTATAGCAACAGTAGTTGTAGTAAGGAGAATTCAAGTTGTTATGTTCACGTGAATTTAAAGAACTCAATGTACCAGCTTTGGGTCAAGTTAACTCGCAAAAGGCTCATCGTCAATAAAAGTGCAACAGCAAATTAGCAGGTTGTATGTCTGATTGACTGTCCACTCATGGGGAAATAATCGGTTGTGAAGTGAGAGGCTTTTCCATCATCGTCCTTTCGTTTCTTCCAGAGGCCCAAGGTATCAAGTATAACTGGCTGGACATCACAGAGGAGTTCACTGAAGCGGCATCCGAGCTGAAGCTTGGGGAACTCTTGCACGATGCAAAGTAAGATGAGGAGCTGGAAATTAGGGCGAGGGAGGGGGAAGGAGTGAATTCCATCCAAGTGATAAGCTGAACTGCATGTATTGGTAGTGTACACCCAGGTACATTGTGTACATGTACATGTGCCGGCTGTCGACATGCAAGATACAGTTTGGTTACAGTAAATTACCGTAGCTGTTCAGGCAGTCTTGTTGATTTATATAACGGGTTTTTATAAAACCCGTTATATAAATTAACATCTCCCCAACGCCAAAAAAAAAAATAACATCTTGTTGAGTTTATTACTGGTCCTTGCATGTCCATTGCGAGTCCTCCAGTCGTAAGCCAAGTCACAAGCTGTTCAAATGAGCTGTGACGAAAGCATTCTTCCATCACTGTTCAAACTGTTACATACATTGTACATGTAATGACATCTTTTGAGAGGCCTTAAGACTGGGCTTGACTGCAGTGCTGCGTTTTGGGATATCTGGTCATCCGTTCCTACAAACCAATCCTTTTTTCTTTGAACGTCACAGTGTACAGATTTAAAAGTGCTTGCATGGATCTTGGAAACTTACTGTGGACTCAAAACCTCTTCACATTACAGTTTCTAGCCTCACATTTATAGTTGCCCTAAACCCAAGAGAAATAACCTTCATTTCCAAACAACTACATGTACTTGTCAGGGGTGCTTCTGCTATGCCCCAACTTTTTCCAAAATCCCCCAATTTTGTCCACTGTCTAGTGTTGTAGTCTATAGAGGTTTTTCACGTGACTTATCTTGACAGTCAAAGGGGTGTTGCAGGGGCGGGGCCAGGTTTTTCCCAAAGGGGGGGATGTTAAAATGCCTGTACGGCGTGGGGTCTGGAGCCATTTTGGATCCTAGGCGCTCTGTGGTGCCATTTCAGGCAGAGTGACACCTGTTTTTTTCTTCTCCCTCCCTCAGATTTTGTTTTTTTAATTTACATATTGATTTATTTGGTGAAAGGGGGGGCCATGTGACTCCACCCCCTCTCCCCCAGATCCATCCCTGTGTCGGGAAGCATATCACAGCCATGGAGGTGTGTTCATTTTTGAATCTGTGTATTTCTGTCGGAAATTTCACGCACGTCAGAATACTGAGAGACTTCGAAGGCATTCCCGTTCACATCTGTGTCAAATGAACCCTGACCATCAAAAGTCATGTAACTGCATATCCTCTTGCCTAGCTATAAAGAACTTGGCATTAACGCTTGCAAGAAATTTATGACACCATATTATACAACACGACCCTTCCCTCTTCCAATGTCTCTGTGCGCGCGCCAGCTTCGGTTTATTTGAAGCTATGTCGGCCATCGAGATGATGGACCCCAAGATGGATGCAGGGATGATGTGCAACCAGACAGGACGGCAGGTCATGGGCTTGGAGCAGTCCATCAAGGAGAGAGACCTGAAAATCAAGGATCTGTCACCCGATGAAGTGATCGGGATCATTGACAACACGCTGGCATGCATAGTAAGTCCTAAAACCTTCAAACAAGAAAACAAAACGTTCCTCTGCTTCACACATTACCTCTTTATAAAGTGGGACCCAGCATGACAAAATGGGTCATACGACCATGTAGGAGTACATGTACATCAACAGATAGAGCCACTTATGAGGTTGTTATCACCATTATGTGATGCGCTGAATATTGTTGATGTGGCATTTGTCAACATTCCTGTAAGAAAATGAAAACTTTGGAAGTTTTGGGACTCAACTAAATATACGAGGGTCATTCTATTTAATTAGGGGTCCAGTTTTTTGGTCTCCCTTTCACATCTGAGATATGACTTTGCAAGCTCAGAAAACTTTTCCAATTCCCAAGAGTGATGAACTAATGCAATTTACTTGCTAAACAAATAGAAATAGTCAGAAAACAAATAGAAAAAGTCAACTTCGGTGATATTTCCATGTCAAATTACACAGGTCAGGTTAAACAGGAACACACAAATATCACACTTTTGAACCCTGAATTCATAGAATGACGCACGAGTGACACCATTCAGGATTAATTTTGCATAAAGAGGCTCGGGGTCTTGCACAACCTCATATTGCAATTCCTGTACGTGACTCTGCCTTAGACGAGACTAGACCCCCGCCTCCACTGCATGGTTAATGTGCCAGATCAGTAAACACGCAAAGCGCTCTGTCTTACCCTTTTCCAGGCCACATGGTTAGAGGGGCACTCGCTGGCCCAGACTGTGTTCACCAACCTCTACACGCACAACCCAGATCTCATTGAAGACCGCTGCATCAGGGCCTTCACGCTGGCCGTGCTGAAGATAGTGGACATCGTCAAAGACAAGGTGGTCCGAGCTTCCGTATTTGAAGAGGTAAGTTTGGGAGTGACATATACCTTTTTGTCCATCGAACAGCCTACACCTTCTTCCTTTTTGAAGTATTTTGAAGTATTTGTTCTGGACTGAAGATCCCGGAAACTAACTCTTCGGTATTTGTGTCGCTTTTATACCAAGAATGTTTGTTTAGTTAGTGCAAGGTGTTAGATTTCCCCAGGCCAGCAAAATTCCCAGGGAAGTGTAAAGGGTTGCCGATTCAGCTCTGTGACAGGTATCATTGTAAAGAAGATATTGTTGGCCCAAGCACGATTTCTGCAGAAACTGCTGGCAATGTGTCAGATTTGATGGCCAGACTAAGATGCACTTGTGCACATGGTATGCCAGTTGCTTCAGGACCTCAGACTGTTTTGGCCACTGAATCTCGGTTAAGGTTGAGTGTGCCCTCTACCGAATGCCCGTAGATTAACAGATATATCACTGGACATACATGTAGGAAGTGACGCCATGTGGAATAATATCCAGAACATTTTTGGGGATGAGCGCAATGTTGACAGCTAATCTGACCGCCCGTCGCTGTTTCAGGAGGATTTCCAGTCAATGACGTACGGTTTCAAGCTGGCCCACAACGTGACCGATCTCAGGGTGGTGGGAATGCTGAGGGAAGTAGAGGAAGAATTCAACCGCAAAATCAAGGTTGGTGTTTGTTGTACATGTACAGTGGTACATGTACGTACCATCTGGGATGTGGATTATCGCCTCCTGGACTCTGGCACACAGTTTGGTTGAAGGCAAATGAGGGCTGTGACCGTTATCTAGATACATGCACCTTAAAGGGGCCCATCCTATGCAATTTCTTTCAATGCAGTTTAAGTACTGTGTTAGTTTCGTACATGCGCAAGACTTATTCCCGTTTTTTTTTTTTTTAATTCACATCGGCAACCCTTTAAACCTAGGCAAATAAAAGATGTCCAGTCCTGGTGAAGATGGGTACACAAATCAGTTTCATGCCAACGTTACCATCTTTGTGCTTTTTTCACTGT